GTGGCTGATTCTGAGAAGAATGGGAATCCCAAAACATTTGACTGTGCTTATGCAAAACCTATTCTTGGACCAGGAGGCAATTGTCAAAACAGAGCAAGGAAACAATGCATGGTTCAAAATCATGAAGGGCGTATATCAGGAATATATCCTATCTCCATACCTTTTCGATCTATATGCAGAGCAGATTTTCTGGGAGGCTGGACTCTGTGAGGAGGAGTGTGACATCAGGATTGGAGGAAGATTCATCAACAACCTGTGTTATGCAGATGATACCACCCTGCTTGCTGAAACTGAGGAAGACCTGAAATGCTTGCTGTAGAAGGTCAAGGACTTCAACCTTCAATATGAATTGAAGCTCAACATCAAGAAAACAAAGATTCTCACCACTGGGCTGATGGCAGTATTATGAAAGACGGTGAAGAGATTGAGATTTTTAAAAGCTCCAGTTTGCTTGGCTCCACAATCAACAATTTTGGTACCAACAGTCAGGAAATCAAAAGATGAATTGTACTGGGAAAGTCTGTTGTCAAGGACCTCTCCAGAATATTGAAAAGCAACGATGTCAGTCTGGAGACTAAGGTGCACCTGATCTGGGCCATAGTCTTCACAATTACTTGCTATGCATCAGAAAGTTGGACAATGTCTAGGGATGATAGAGAATTTATGCTTTTGAGCTTTGGTGAGTATTGGATATACCATAAACTGCCAAGAGAACAAACAAGTTCGTCCTGAAGAAGGTGAAACCAGGCTGCTCCTTGGAGGCAAGGATTCTGAGGCTTCATCTTTGGGCATGTTGCAAGAAGGGACCAGTCCTTGGAGAGGGAAATCATGCTTGGGAGGGTGGAGGGACAGCGCAAGAGGAGAAGACCCTGGATGAGATGGATTAACTCAGTAACTGGGGTAATGGGGTGGGCGTGTCAAGGACGATAAGGTTGGCACATGATAGGGCAGGGTTTAGGGCTGTTGTACATATAGTCACTATGAGTCGCAAGTGACTTTATGGCACATAACAAAACAACAATTTCTGAATTTAAAAAAAAATTGCCAGTGGTCCCAACTGCCCATCTTTCAGGTAAGAGCCCATCACAAGCTGATCATAAACCATTTGCACCCCTCGGGGAAATGCTATTCTAGCTTTCAACATCGCTTTTGTCTTGGACAGAAGCTGCTCTGGGTAACTCCTTCAGTTATCCCCTCCACCAAGACAGCAGAAAGCAAGAGGGTTGGATGGGAAGTGGGTTTCCAGGGAACATGTGTGGCTGTAAAGTGGTCTCAAGAATTCCGCCCTATCCAATCTATGATAAAGAATATGCAACTCTTAGAAAGAAAACAGGTGGGTGCTTGCACACAGGAGAAGGATTGGTTTTAAGGGAACCTTATGCAGATGACACAAACTTGCTTGCTGAAATTGAAGAGTACTTGAAATGCTTGAAGCTGAAGATCAAGGACTAAGCCTTCAATATGGACTGCATCTCAGTACCAACCAGGAAAGCAAACTTCTCACAACTGAACTGATATATGACATCATGATAGATGGAGAAAAGGCTGAAATTGTCAATGATTTCATTTTACTTGCATCCATGATCAACCCCCCTGAGTCAGGAGTCAGGAGATCAGGAGACATACTACATTGGGGAAATCTACTGGCAGGGATCTCTCCAAATTACTGAGGAGCAATGAGGCCAATTTGAAGAATAAGGTGTTCCTGATTCCAGCTTGGCCTTCCCAATCACTTGCTGTGCATCTGAGAGCTGGACAGTAAATAAGGATGACACAAGAATTAATACCTTTGAGTTGTGATATTGGAGAAGAGTATGGAATATCGCACGGACTGCCAAAAGAACAAACAGCAGATATTGAAGAAGGAACAGCCAAAGGGAGCTCTGGTGGCCTAGTGGCAAGAAGCTGCACTGCAATCCTAGAGGTAAGTGGTTCAAATCCACTAGATGCTCTGCTGAAGAAGGAGGTGCAATCTCCTCCTCTACCAGTCAGATCCGATTTGACAGTACACACACACACACACACACAAATAATAAAATTTTTTTTAAAAAAAGAAAGAAAGAACAGCCAAAGCGCTCCTTGGAAGCAAGAATGGCTGCACGTCATCTCACTTGCTTTGGGCATGTTGCTAGGAAAGGAACATCATGGTTGGAAAGGTGGAGAATCAGTGTAAGAGAAGAACCTTTATAAGATGGATTGACACAGAGACTGCAGTAATGGATTCGAGCGTGTCAGAGATGAAGAGGATGGCATAGGATTAGACAGGGTTCAGGTCTGTTGTTCACAGGGTCACTGTGAATTGTACTCATCTCGATGGCACCTAACAACAACACAGAGGTGGAGACTGCATGTGTTTTATACTCTATGGACACTGTTAAACACTAGCATCTTGGAGAGAAAACTTGAAGGGATTCAGACAACATAAGAGCCAGCGTTACCTTAACCACTTACTACTACAGCCTATCAGGGTCCATGATACGTCCCAGGGACCGTCCTTCAAGGGGAGTCTACCTTTGCTTGTTCGTGTTCCTGTGAGGCTACACACTCATCTTTGATGTTACTGTTCTTCTCACCCCTTTTATCAGACACTCATTCCTCACAAGCAGTTTAGCTTGCCTCTCCTCCAGGCAGACATTTCAGAACCTCTCAGTATGCTCAAGAGATCAATGGGAGGAAAGAGAAATGTTACCTGTGGATTGATATCTGGAAGTTCACCTGTGGCGTGCTAAAGGCTCTGCTGTGTACAACTGTTGAAAACTACCTCTGGTGAAAAGTGCAGGCTGCTTCAAGGCTCTGAGTTCAAGCTGTTCAAGCTGGCAAATGTGTTTATTTCCTGAGTCTTCACCTACCTGTCTGGAAAATGGGATCGTTCACACCAGACATCTACAGGGTTGTGGTGAAATAAGTGCCCCTTAGGCTTCTATTTGTGGCACCCAAACCAAACTGGCTGAAGTTTAGTTTAGCGAAGCCGTGCCTTTAGAGAGCAGAACTGCTCCACAAAGCCCTCGTGCGCGTAGCCTTTGCATATTGGGAGGCTTAATGGTAAGGATTTGAGTCGCCAAGGTAAAGCTAAGCGGTTCAAATCCACCAGCTGCTCCGTGGGAGAAAGATGGGCCACCTCCTCTTGTGCAGTTTACTGCCTCAGAAAACCCGCTGGAGAGTCAGCTGTGTGTCGGTTCAGACTCGATGGATCAGCACCAGCATCACCACAGATCTGGCGTCCCCAGTGCCGCTGAGCACAATGGAACCGTGAACTTTCAGGTGTGAGGAGGAGCAGTCTGGCCATCCTGGAACTTCGTGGTGTGGCCTCCCCTTACACCTGGGTGCCATCGGCGCGGGCTGGGGGTGGGAGCCCGTGTTTGTGTTTGTGTGTCTGCGCGCGCGCC